TAGTAACGTAAACCCCCAAAAAAGTAACAACGGGACTAATTTTTGAAATGCTGATCTTTCAGAAACGCTTGGGTACTCGTTAGAAAGCTTGAAATCTGTGGTTTATTAAACCGTGTTCAGCTTCCCAAACGAATGATTTTGGAGGAAGTTATGATCGTTCGAAGGTCAAAAAGTCGCGGTTCCACAAAAATATAATAGTAACGCAAACCCCCAAAAAAGTAACAACGTACAAAATTTTTAACTAAATTAACTTTCGAAGAATTTTTACCATGGTTGGAGAGAGAATAATTTGAATTTTCCAAATCAAATCACTTCGGCGCTGAAGCTCGAATATGAAGGAAGTTATAGCCTTAGAAAGAGGGGTGTAAAAATTGTGTTGCAATTGAAGAACGTGAAGGATTTCAGTATTTCAATTGGAGCGATAATTTTTTCTGACTTCTTATAAGTTTTTATCAGGTAATGTTGTCAATATTACGGTCACTGGTTCAGCTTATTTCATCTCCTAGTTTGGTAACCCTTTGGAGTACACGGATATCTTTGAATGCATCTCATTTTTTCGTGTTTGCAAGCAGCGATGAATTTCTGTCGTGGATTTTGCTAAAGTTTCATCTTTGATGACTTACGTAGAAATAAATATTGATGGTAAACACTGTCTCTACACAAGTGTTACATACAAGGGGGGTCGTATCAAACCACCCCTGAAGGGGGGGGGGTCGTAAAAAATTTCCGAAGAGTAACAACGATAGGGTTGACCCTGGTGAGAACTTGGCCGCTTTTTAATAAAACCAGTTTTCACATATAAGACATTAGTCACATTAGCAGTGCGCAATAACACTGCGACTCAAGAAACATGAATGAAAAATTTGAGCATGCATCATTCTGAAATGTAAGAGCATCAAGAACGGAGAAAGGAGAGTAGAGCCACATTATCGCAAACCAACTTAAATTGTATTCAATCCCATCAAGAAACAAGTACAGAATGCGCCATTGGCCGATGTCAGACTGCGATTGGAACGATTGTGCACCAATTGCAGGAGCGACGGGAGATTTACACCGCCGACCACCGATAATTCGGCGCCATCAGCTCGTAAATCTCCCGTCGCTCGCAGCTCCCTGCCACAACGGCCAAGGAGGCACATCACGGCCCGAGCGATGGATCGCTTGAGCGATCTTGAGCGGAGTCGTGTGTATGTGAGTATACGTGTATACGAGCTGATGGCGCCGAATTATCGGTGGTCGGCGGTGTAAATCTCCCGTCGCTCCTGCAATTGGTGCACAATCGCTCCAATCGCAAAGTCTGACATCGGCCATTGAAGATAAGAAAGGAGGAGCATTGGAGTGAATTACGGTAATCATATTGAAGGTCCAGGAACCAGTGTTAAGCGTCCGTTTGCACTATTCGAAGGAGTATTCAGACCGAACAAAGAACAATGAAGTGCAGAGCTATTAAGCGGTTCTTGCTATGAGCTATGAAGTGACTTTTCGAGGCTGAAAATAAAAGCTATACAGAAGCCAGATTTGATGAGCTCCTTCAAGAGAAGTTTGGAGCATACTGGGAAGGAGGGCTGTTGAAAATTTCTTCGCTCCTCTACATCAAGCTTTTTGAAGGAAGCTGTGACTGCTGAAAGTTAAAAAGAAAACTCGGTCATGGCTCGAAAACATAAGAAGTGCAAGCATGTAATTTTAAGTTTTGAGAAACAAAAAATGAAATTTGAGAAACGGCTTAGCGCTCATTAGAAAGCTCTCGTTCTGTACTTTCTTAGATAATAAATTTTCGCTACCAAAACGAAAAAGAGGAAAGGTATGGACACTGTGACCTCTAAAACTCACTTTTCGCAACAACCCCCCCCCACCCCCTCCCCCCACAAAAAATGCGAACGATTTCTTCCCAAAATTAGCTCTGAGGAACAGTTATGTCTTTGTTAGAGAGCGCTAGCTTGTTCTTTCTTGCCATGCAAGAAATTGCGACAGAAACGAAAACGAAGAAAGTCATGGTCACAAAAAGCCCAAAAACCTGTATTCACACGATAAAAAAACGCACAAGAGAATTTTTAGGAAAGGTAACCATTACAATACTTTCTATGCTATCAAAATAGAGATGTATTCGGAGTTTCTGAATCTTTTGAAGCTTCTCGAAGTTTTGTATATGAGAAATATTATGACATTTCAAAGGTAAAGGTGCGCGCCTCCTTAGAAATTTAGGTTCCCCACTTCGCTAAAAGCATTTTACAGCTTTTGAGGTAACCCCAGGAGTTTTCTGGAAGCGAGGTTGTGCACATTCCAAATCTACTTGAATAATTAGAAAATATATGAATTCAACAAGGTAATGCCCCCCCCGGGCAAAGTTTTTTCTTATCGCATCCTGTGCTCCGCTGCGAGGATGAAACCGGACGAAACCCGGTGCGCTCGCAGGCTAATGTTGCAACGCAGCCGCGGCTTGCAAAAATTCGAGTTTCGCCTGCATCATTTGCGCCTTTTCCCATCCCGCTTTGTATGTATCCTCTATTTCGGAAAAACGCGAAGGGCGTCGAGTGCATACCACACACCAAAAGAGACGACGGCCAGAGAAGAGAGAAGAAATCTACTTTATACTTGGCTGTCGTCACGTGGTGTGTGGTCTACACTCGACACTCTTCGCATCGGCCGGACGCATAGTCGGTCGGACGACAGCAACGACTGCTGCTGTCGGACGACAGCAACGACTGCAAGTGTCGCACTGCGCGTGATCGTATTCGAAGTCCCGACTGTAGTTGTGGAATAGTGTTAGCTGCGTATTGATCTTGCAGTCGTTGCTGTCGTCCGACAGCAGCAGTCGGACGACAGCAACGACTGCAAGTGCCGCAGATCGATACGCACCCAATACTGTGC